CCCCCCGCGCCCCCGCCCCCCCCCCGCCCCCCCCCCCCCCCCCCCCCTCCCCCCCCGGGAGCGGCATGTCACCTTCTGTCCCACCGGCGCGCGGGACGGCACTCGCGTCCGATGAGCCCGGGCCACAGAGACGCCCGCCGGCGGCTCCAACAGCAGGCCCATGAGCACGCCCGCGAACTCGATCCCCGCCCCCATCTCCCCGGGCCGGGAATTGGGGCGAGTCAGCCGACACCCCCCCTTGGCGCGTCTCCGTGGGCCGGTCCACGGGGGGGGGGTGACCGCAGCCGCCTGTTACCAGGCCCACGCCGGAGTGGGGGGGGGCGGAACCGCCACTGGACACCGCCGCCCGCCGATCGATGCCCGGGCGAACCGCCGGCCGGTGTTGGGGAGCGTCCCGTTCGTGGCCCCCGTCTCCCCAAAAGCCCCACGCGCGCGCGTCCTGGGGACATACCCGACCGCAACGGGCCGGGATATGTCGATGTGTATTATTATGCCCCGCCTTTCTCGGCTGTTATTGCACGCCGAGTGGGCTTTGTTTTTATTTCTCCCCCGGGCCCTCCCTCCCCCCGCTCGCGGTGTGCCTCATAACTCCGATCCGCCAGCGATCGCCCGGCATCCTGTGGCGTCTCTCGACCCCGGCCATGGTTGTCGACTCGCTCCGAACGCAGGCCTGGGGGAAGGAAAAAAGAAAACACATACCCGGCACCCGGACACCGCCCCACCTTTTTTCTGGCAAGGGCGAAAGCCGCACGTCGCAGGCCGGCCGGCCGGCCGGCCGGGAAATGGACTCAGCGGCCGCCGACTCCCGCCCCCAGGTCTCCCCCCCCTCCCCCGCCAGCCAGCCAGCCAGCCAGCCAACCCCGCGGCCGGAGTTCCGGGGCTTACACCGGTCATGCAACGCCTGTCCGTGCGTGGCGGGGCCGATCGAATTTAGGCGAAGAATGTCATTCCGAATACATGGGTTACCAACTCGGCGTCTAGTTTGCTTCCTCCACCTGTTCGGCCGGCCAGCCGGCCACATCGACCAGCACCCGGCGCATTTCCCGCGTGAAGGTGGCCGGGCCGCAGAGGAAGGCCGCCTCGCGGCCGCGCGTCAAGGCCGGCCGCTTGGCCGCGGCCAGGCCCAACATCCGAGCCACGGGCCCCTGGCCCAGGAGTAGGTCCTGGTCCAGGCGCTGGCCCCGAGTCACCGATCGGAAGATCCGCCCCAGGCGGCCGTGGCCGGGGTCCGGCGCCGGGCCTGCTCCCGACTCGGCCAGCGGCACCGACGATACCACCAGGTGCGGCCGGAGGGTGACATACTCACTCATGGCGGCCAGGATGTCCAGCAGCGCTGGCAGGGCGACGATCTCGGCCTGGTCGTCACGCACCGCCCACACCAGGTCCAGCATCGTGTCATCGCGGTCGTTCAGCAGGATCGACGACAGGATTTGCAGGCAAGCCGCGATGCCGGACCCAGCGGCGAGCAGGGTCACCCGCTGAAACTGTCACCCGCCCGGCCCCGAGCAAGTTAGTCGGCCATCAGGCAAAGGAAGGGAGGGGAGGGGGGGGGGGGGGGTCAGTGGCGCGCATGAGCCATCGCCCGGGGGCCGGGGGCAAAGAGCGCGGCTTACCTTGTTCGGGGACAGGCACAGGGAGGACGGGGTGGCGGACACCCCGCGCAGGGGCAGTGCGGTGCCCGCCCCGGCCGCGGCAATCCCCCGGCTCATGGCCGATTCCGGGGCCGTTTTGCAGTAGAGATACACCCGCGGCCGGCCATCGGGCCCCGGCCACCAGAAGGGCGTATACTGTCGGGAGGGATCACCCAGCGAAGGGCGCAGCCACACATGCCGGTTGCCCGGGGCCCCGATGGCCGCCGGCCCGGTCAAAGAGGGCCCCAGCCGCGCGCTGGACAAGTCGTCAAACTCCACCAGGCTGACCAGGCTCCGGGGGTGCGCATGTGGCCCGGGCGGCGAGAGGTGCACGCGCGCCGCCACAAATGGCCGGAACTCCTGCTGGTCCAGTGGCGCGGCCGCCGGGTCGACAGAGGACCCGGCGCCCGAGCCGGCCCCCAGGCGCCGGCGCTTCCAGGCTGCCAGGTCCCGGTCGTACAAGTCGAAAACGCACGGCTCGCAGCCGGTGCCGCAGCAGTCGCTGTCGGCCGGCATGGTCGGGCGCGGGTCATCCGGGTCGGTGTCCTTCGGGTCAGGAGACATGCCTGCGGTGGGCGGGGGGATCAGGCAAAGTGCAGGGAGAGAAGGGGGGAGGGGGAGAAGATGATCCGACATGCTCGGCCTTTCCCCGCCCTGCCCCTCCCTTTGGCCCGTCTGGGGGGAGGGGGGGGGGGGGGGGGGGCGGGGGGCACGCGGCCGGAAGCGCCCCCCCCCCCCCCCCCCCATCAGAGATCGCGACAACTCCCCGCCCGCCAGCCCGCCCGCCCGCCTCCTGTCTTGCCCCCAGGGCGATCGGGGGCCGCACGCGGATGCGCATCAACTGCCAACTCAACCGCGGGTGTGACGTGCGCCTGATCTCGCATCGGATCACGCCGGGCTTGCCAAGTCCCACGAGCGCCCCAGTCGTTCGTTTTCACGCGCGAGCATCCCGGCCACCGGGGGCTGCCCACGCTTCACAGCCCTCCGGGGGGCTGGGCAGGGGCGCTCACGTCCGTCTCGGCCGGCGGTCACAGCGGCCTGCGCGAGCCGGTCTCCCCCCCCCCCCCCCCCCCCCCCCCCCCCCCCCCCAGTGGCCTCCCCAGTCTGGCGGTGTGCCCCTCCCCCGCCGGGGAACACGATCTCCCCGGGGGCGCGGGGGCCGGAACGAGAGGGGGCCTCTGGGCTCGGGGCCTGGATTTGTGTCGTCTTTTTCCCGTGCTCGTCCTTCGCCCCCCCCCCCCCCCCCCCGGGGGATGTCGGGCGTGCGCGCGACTGCCGGGGGGGCCGTGGCGCGGGTCGCACCCCGCCGTCACTGATTGGATGAGGTGCGTGCCGGCTCGCCCGCTCAGTTGGCCCCCGCCGGGGCCTGTGCCACTCCTGGAGGCCTGAAAGCCCTCCGGGCTGGCTTCCTCGCTGCGGCTCCTTCGCCGCCCGAGGCGCGCCTGTCTTCCTTGGCACAGGGGGCAGACCCGGCGGGGCCCCTCTCAGCTGGCCGATCGGAGGCCCCGTTGTAAACAATATCATGTACCGAAACCCCCAATGGACCTGGTGCATTGCTTCACCCGCCCCAGTCCAGACAGATTGATTATTAATCACAATTCACACTGGCGTACGCAGGCTCCCGCCCGCTCGTCCGCCCGCCCGGCGCTCGCGCTCCAAGCGGTGCGCCGCCCTTTGTTCCAGGTACTCTGGCGCGCGGGCAAGGGGGAGCCTGTTCATTCGGGCCTCTCTCTCTCTCCCCCCCCCTTTGAATGCGGGTGTCCGATATTGCCTTATTGCCCCCCCCCCCCCTCCCCGCCCCTGCCCCTCGGCCCGTCTCAGAAGAGCGCCGCCCGCCTCGGCCGGGAGAT